CCTCTCGTCCCATCACTCGTCACCAGGCAGAAGAAGTCAGCTCCCACCTCTCTACACCCTCCTTTCAGGGAGCTGTAGAGAGCGAGAAGGTCTCCCCTCAGCTCCTCTTCTCCAGGCTGAACACCCCCAGTGCCCTTGGTCATTCCTCATAAGACTTGTCCTCCAGACCCCTCGCCAAGTACAAGTGAAGCTGTCTCCACGCTTGCCTGGAAGTGGGGGATGTGCCCGTGCAGGGGCTGTAAGAAGCAGTAAGCTGCCCGTGTGCTCAGGCCAGAGAATGTTTCTTGTCTCTGCTGAGTGACCGTCTGCACAAAGATTTGGCTCCTGTGATGAGCTGCAGTTCTCTGCAGGCCCATGGGAGTGTGGGGAGGAGATACCCCCCTGCCAGGCTGCCGGGACCCTCTGCTGCTTCTCTCGTTCCTCCTGCCCTCTCTTTGAAGACCTCTGGTGACCAGGAGTTCACAGCCCACCTGCCCGGTTGGCTTGAGAGATGGGCAACCTCCACTGCATATAGTTTTCCCAAAGTTTAATATGAACAGCCCTTCCCGTAGCTCAGCCCCATGGCTTTTTTCCCAGCCCCACAGAGAGGGAGAACAGCTTCCCCGTGGTGTCTTTTCACGTGTTTGAAGACCTATCAGCCTATTTGATTTTCTTTTCTCTAGGTTAAAGACCTATATATCCTTTGGCTTGTAGGTCATGTTTTTCTAGATTTACCTTTCTTGCTCTGCCTTTGCATGTACCTGTGTGTCGCTTTGGCTCACGTCTTATCTGAAGTGCCGTATTGCAGCAGAGGCCGTAGCGATCCTCCGTCAGAGCGAAAGGATTACCTGTGGCTTGCAGACCATAGTGCCACCTATAATCCCTCCCTTATTTTTACACCAGCATGAGACTGTTACTTGAATGGAGTTTGTGATCATCCTCAGATGTAGGCGACAGAGATCCTTTTCAACAGAGCTGCCGTTTAAGCGGTGCTCCCTGTCGGGTGTTTGCGTGGCTGATCGCCACCTGCCTCACGCTTGTGTAGATTTTCATCATAAATAACGTGTGTACTCCGAGCAGGCTGCTGCGCACAAATATCTAAAAGGAATTGTATTTTGTAGCTTTCTTAAATTGCTTATTGAAAATGAGGGCAATATGCAATTCTTGTCTGTAGGAGGGAATTTCTTGTTTAACTTACGTGATCTATATCTAATGTCTAAATTACCTGTGCATGCAAATCTACATTATAGTGTATATAATCCATCCTTGTGAAACATCTAAAATTAAATCTGTCAACGTACACGTACAAGAGCTCTTTAGGAGTGGCAGTTACAGATTTAACGTTCGTGCATGTAAAATTGATATAAAAAGTTAGAGAAGAGTTTGCAAGCTGCTTTTAAAAAAATAATCCCTGAAGTTTATCTAAACCCCTGCGACACAGAAATCTGATCCTGTGGATACCTCCAAATATTGTTTGAGCTTTCAGATTGATGCTCACGGCAGTAAATGCTTTGTTCTTGATACTAAGTTTGCATTCCTTGACTGTTAACCTGGAACTACCACAATTTTAATATAGCATTTCAGCATTTTATACCATTCCATTCTCTGATAGGAGTAGAAGCTTCAAAAATAGGTGAAACAGATCCAGCCCCCCCCGAAATTCACACTTAGTTGGGGTTCGCTGCCAATAGTTTTTATCCTTGGTTGGGTCAGCTTCAACTGCCTGATTATACAGCTGGTCTCATTTTTGTATTCTACTTTGAGCATCTTTCTGTCTCATCCCTCCTGTGTGTGTGTATAGTGCCTGTAAACGTCATCTCTTCATTTACAAACCCTCTTGAACTGAAAAGGGCAACCCAGTAAACCCCATCTGTGGACTCCTGTTTCCTTCTTGGCGCATTTTCCTTACACTTAAATGTAAACCAGCCGTTAATGTCATCTTATTCACATTTTGACATTTCAATCTCTTCCCCTTGTGTTGATTGTATCAGACTCTTCTTCCAAATACCTGCCCGGTCCTTTATTTCTTCCCCTTTTCAGCTGCATAATGCATGAGATGGAAAGTGTCTTCCCGGTGCCTGGCTGTGCCGGGGACGCGCTGGCAGCAGCCCGCAGCGCGCCCGTGATTGACACTAATGCGCTGCGAGCCGCTTCTGCTGGCTGTAGGAGTTGTTGTGTTTCGGGGAGGCTGGTCAGTAAGGAGAGCAGGAGCCGTGTCACTGATGCAGCTTGTCAGTGGTTCACAGAGATCTCTCGGAGTGCCCTATTTTTGGAAACAGCATTTCCAGATAAATGCTTTTGCAATTCCGAAGGCATTTTGACATGCTGGGGAATAAACCTCTACCTAGCTGGGGGTTTAAGTCACTTCCCTAAGATTCTAGAAAGTGCTAGTCATTAGATTTTATAATCTTTTCTATGAATTATAATGACGGTAAGGACCAAATAGGCTTAGTCCTGTGCTGCCACTCTCTCCAGACACATAACGGAGGCAGAAAAGGCACATTTAGAAACCGAGAGCCCCTTGATGTGTCTGGCAAGCTTAGCTCTGAAATCCTCAAAAGAGATCTGTCTTCCTTTTCCCTCTAAATTTAGATGAAGAATTTTCACGTTCTTGGACTAGAGAGGGAGAAAGGTGGAAACCGATAACACGCTGTTGAAAGAAAATCGTAGCGTTTTCAGATGCAGAGCAATTTTCTGTGTGGCTTCTCTCTGAAGTGCGTAAGCGTTAGCTGGTCTACCTGCGAGCAGCCTGGTTTGTGCGTGCGAGTTAGATTGAGAACTTTAAACTCATGTCACCTTTTCTTTTTAGGCATTCAAGCCAATGTTTTAGGGGCCTCTCTGTCTTCTACAGGACCAGGTAGAACTGCTTTGCATAGGGCTTTGTAAGCAGGCCTTTGGGGACTGATGGGCTTGGGTTTGGGGTTATTTTTTCCTGCCTAGCACATGCAGAAATGTTATTGCTCATTCACTGAAAGAGAAAATGAGTTTGCCAGTTCCGGCTCTTTGTAGCTTGTTGGCATCTCTGAAAAGATACCAGGCAATGGGACTTACAGGTAATTATTGTCGCAAATAATTCAATCTGGATTTAATAAGGAAGTCACTCTTTTTGACTCACCATTTTTAAACGTCAGCAGTGGTCGTCTGTAATGGCTCACCCCAGCAGTCCAGAGTGCTTGTTATTAAGGACTTCGGCATTTTGGATTAGTATTCCCCACTGAGGAATTTTAATTCCTGTTGCTAAAGAATTCACACAGCCCTGTATGATTAGCAAACCTAAAGGATTAAAAAAACCACCTCGCAGGGTTAATACGCTTCAAGACTATTGTTGTTACCTCAGGTACCACAGCACAAAAAAAGGGGGCTCCCACAGCCGCAGCTCGTAGTTAATAAATCTGACTGTGCTAACATTGCCGAACACTGGAAGCAAAGCTTTTAACAGCAGCAAACGCCAGCTTTTTGCTTCATCGCTCAAGGAGGTTCCTCTGTTTTCATCTTCGTCTGCAGAAGTGGATACACCATGGAGATTTTCTGAGATCCAAATACGCGCTCTGTAATTACGTACCCAGTTTGAATAGCTACGGGTTTGAATTGAAACCACGAACCACAAAAGCCTGAACCTCGACTGGTTGAGCAGATGAAACAAATTTCATTTGTTCAAAAGTTTGCATCAAACATTGGACGCTTCTCCATAAATCTGTGCTCTCCTGGTCTGGATTATCAGCGTGCCTTAAGATAGTCATTTTCCCACAGACGGAGGCAAAGGTTTTAGTTCTCTTTGACCCTTCCTTGCAAACGAGCGCGACTGGCCCAGCTACCCATCTCACCCAGGGCTGGGGCTCAGCTGTGCGCTTGAACTCGCTTGTAAATGCCGCTCTGACATGTGCTGTGAATAAATAAAGCCTGTTGGAACATGTTGCGAGGAATATCCTTTTAAGAATCTAATGAAGTTTAAAAGATGGGTAGTACTTACAATAAGCATGTCATTTTACTGAAGAAAAACCTCTTTGCAAAATGATTTAGTTGTTAGGATTTTTTTTTCTTTGAGTTGGAGGAAAAAAGAAAGCTAAAGCTCCTTCTTACAGTAATCTGTTTTTCTCCCTTTTATTTTGTTTTATTTTCTTATCTACGGAAGTCGTGTAAGCAGAGTTCTTTGCCGGTGGTAGGGATTTGTGTGATATTTTTTCAAGGTGCGGTTTGTAGAATGTCACACATTCATTTTTAAACAGTTTTGCTCTCTGATATGACTGAAGCACAGGGCAGTCAAATGTCAATGGAAGCTTAGCAGCTCACTTTTCCTGCTTCTCCCCATTTTCTTATTATTAGCTGTGTTTGCAAATGAGGAGCCTCTTACGTTCTGGGCTGTGTTAGTGTTTTCAGAGCAGGCAGCGTTTCTGCTTTTGCCGATGTTTTTTGACATCTCGAAATAAGAAAAGACACATTTTCCCAGAACAGAGGTGTATTTGGACATTTCTAAAATAACTTCAGCCTGTAATTTGCCCCACCCTTCACTGACTGTCGCCCCTCAGTGCAGTTTGGGTGTGTGTCAAAATTCCCTAGAGGCTGTGTCCTCGCTGCTCTGCCTGGGGACGGGGTGCGGGTCCTGCTCCAGCCCTCGGCTGGCACAGAGTCAGGGCGCGCTCCCCGCCAGAGCGCTCGGAGGACATCCAAGTTCCGATCGCTGCCCTCGTCCCCTGCCCTCTGCTCTTCCCGGAGCGGCTGACCCCCATATTGCCACCCTCCTCGCGGGTGACGTAGCGCTCCTACTGCTGGGGTGACGCAGGTTTGTGCAAGATGAGTTACCGGGAGGGACAGCTAAGCTCAAAGACTGGTATCGCTATATTTATTGTGCTCCACAGCAGTTACCTTAAAAAGTTGTGGGGTTTCTTCTCGTGCGGTTTGTCACATGCCCTGCATGTCTGACCAAGTGGGGTAATCGTGGTTTTCAAAATATTTTGTCATTACTTTGTTTTTAATGAGGGAAAACTGACCTTGATTTCTCCCCTCTTCAAAATACCCTAAAGGAAGCTAGCCAAGAAGCAGAAGGAGACTCAGACCAGCACGCAGAGGGAGATGGGTCCCGTGGCTACTTCCGACAAGACCTCTACCAAACTCAGTGCTGTTCACAACGAAGAAGCTTTTTCTTCCAGCTGCCAAGATGTTAATGGATTCAGTAAGTTTAACTTGCTTGCAATGGATATGTCCCCCTTGGAGAGCTCTGGGTTCTTAAAAGGACCTATTCCTATGGGCACAGTATTGAGGAGCTAGGAACGACAGTGCTAGAGATCATTGCAAAAGCTCGCTAGAAATTGGTCGTCTGAAATGCCTCTGACACTGCCCCTGTTTTATCTGTCAGATAGGTGGACAGCATTCCGTCTGACTCTAAGACTATTGAGAATAATTTATAAAGTCTGTTCTAATAACCACATCAGACAGTCAAAAAGGCACGTGTTTATTTGTTCTCCAGAAATGTTGTTTCTTTTGTGAGTAGCAGAGTCAAATCGAATCACGTAGCTGACTTGTAGGATGAAATAACATTTTCTGTATGAAATTGTTATGAAAGAAAGCATGGTCTCATGGTTAGAGAACTGGAATGGAAAGACAGCATTTCTCCTTTTGTCTGTGTCCTCAGTTTATTCCTCACATGAATTCAGTAAAGCTAATCTTAGTTAATACTTGTAAACCACTCAGACCTTTGTAGCCAGAAGAGTTTTGTGGGTAAAGCAGCACGAAGTCATACTTTAGCCTTGCTAGATCCAGATTGAGTGCATGGTGGATTGCATGGCGGATTTGTAAACCTTTTCGTATTAAATAAATTTTAACTTAGACACTATGGGAATGTCACTCCTTCTTTTGACACTTAGCCTGCTAGTTTGAACAGGGAACAGCTCTGAAACACAAGTACGTACTAAAACTCTTGTCTTTCTTAAGCATCTTTAGTGAAGTTGTTTTTTTTTCCCCCAATTACTAACGTGGCAGTGCTTATGGTACAAAATGTGCTTTGTCGTTGAGACCTTTGTAATTCCAGATTGAGTGGGACAGGCTGAGTGAATTCTTTTCCCTCTCTCTGAAGGTCATGTCAAATTCCATCTGCATGCGTTGCTACTGCCACTCTGTGTAACTTACCTGTGCGAAGGATAAAAAGGTGTTTGGGACTGTCAAGGCTAGCTGTGAACACTTTTCTCTGATATTAAATTGACTTGAGTCAAGATCTAATTTTCTCCGGTGCTGAGTAGCTGTATCTCCTAAAGAAAACAGAAGGAATTGTCAGTGGTTCATATCTTTGAAAGACAGGATAGCAGAGGACAGCATTGTAACAGACATCCTAGAAAGAGCAAAGGGAGCTTGTTTAAAAGGTACGGGGAAAATGAAGTTCTTAACAGTTTCTGAAGAAATCGGTATTTTTAAAACTTTTGGGATTATTTTTCCAACCAGAAAATAAGAGAAGAGACACGCTTGAAATGTGACCTCATTTTTTTCCCCTTGGTATTTTGAGAGACTAATTAAAACAACTGAGTCATTTACTTGAAATGGCAACTATAGAAAATATGTTGTATCTAATTTTGTAAAAAAGCATCCCTCCAGGTCGTCTTTTTTTTTTTTTTTTTTTTAATCAGTTAGTCCTTTACTTGTCTGACATCACTGCAGATTTTGTCACCGCCTCCCTCTATAACAGCCTGAGTCAAGCCATGGGCCGATTCTTTTAGTTTTTTCCTCTTTCTATCCATGAGAAACAATGACTGGTAAGCTGGTGTGATTTCTCGAAGTTTTTTGCTGCCAAGTCCAGGATGCTGAGGGGTGTTGGAGGTAAGTTTTCTTCTGTGCAGTACTGTGCACATGCTGATACAGGAATTTTATGGGTAAAAGACTTCATTTTAAAAAGATTGCCTTAGTAGAGTTTAATGCTTGAGGGTTTCTATACAGGCCTACTCTTTTTTTGAGTAACGTTTGAGTAACGTAATAGGTTTACTTCTTAACGTTCCTGCTAACTAATAGAGTTTTACAGGGGGTTATCCATCCCAGCTTTTGAAATCAGCTGTCTATCTTGTGCAGCAGTCAAATTCCTTCTTGAATTGTCCTTTTGCCTCCCAACAGAAAACAGCATTTGCAGCTGTCTCATGAGAGGTAGTCATCCTCTCCATCTCAGCCCTCGGTTACGGGAGCCCGAGTTGGCTGTAGCAGCGACATGGAAATACCCCTCTCCTTTTAGAAGATAGTCCACCAAGAAGAAGCTAAGCGGTTTTGATCCCAGAATCACCTTGCTAGCTCCCAAAAGCAATAAAACAGAACCGAGACAGCTTCTTAAGTAGGAAACCTCACAATTATTTAATGACTTGCAAACCAGTTTACCTCCAGATGAGTGTCCTTCCAGGGCATGTGTCCTTCCCTCCAGTTTTTCCTTCCCATCTGAATAATTTTAATGACTTTTCAGACAGAACAGATTCCGTGAGTCCCTATAGAAGCTTTATTCTTCCCATAGTTTCTCTCTCCAGCGTGGCCAGTGGTCTGCTCCCAGTGCAGGAGTACTTTGCTGTTCTTGGATCACCTCCTCCTGCCGTAGCTTCCCCGTTTGCTGCCTGTCTTGCTGCTGCCTACAGCACGGTCGCCCCGCAGGGAGCTCCCACTGGCGCGTCCAGCCGCTATGGAGCAAGAGGCAACGTCCCCCTCGTTGTGGCAGGTGCTACCTGGCACTCTGCATGGTGAAGGACACCAAAAGTGAGCAGCTGCCTTTCTGCTTCTCAGCCCCTCCTTCTCTGAGGGGACAGACGTGGGCGCTTTTAGGGGCAACTCTGAAATTAAAGGTGATTCTGTCGTCACTAAGAGTTACCATCCTCCTGGCTCTGCTGGTAGTAAAAATGCAGATTTCTTCACCAACTCCATCTCAGTGTTTTAGGGGGAAATGCTTCTATTTTGCAATGTAAACACATGCAGATGATGTCATCCATAAAGTCCTGCTGTTTGGGTGCAGTGGAGTCCTTTGTCGAGGCCAGTGTGATGCTCAGGAGCACACAGTCCTGGTGGACATTTATAGTTTTGAATTCCGTTATTTGGCAGAGGTGTTCATTATCAAATGTAATTACATTCTGGAAGATCTGTCTCTTCTGTGCTGGAACAGGGAGAGCTCAGGTCTTGTTGAGAAGTGGAAAAGAAATGGGCATTTATCTTCCCTGGCCCAAAGCAAAGCCCCTCATCCCTCTTTCCGTTCTACACTGGCATTTGTTATTCAGGCAGAACTCTTACTGTTACATACAGGAGTTTGAAGAGATTTTATGGACTCAGCCTCTGTCTCTGACACCATATGGAATCAGAATAGGCAGTTGCTGAAAGACAAATTAGTCCGTGGCTATTCCAGCTTGTCCAGTTTTACCCAGGGATTATGTGGAGGTGAAGCAGGCTCATCACAGTTGTTCATTTTTTCAACTATCTTGCTTTTTTTAAAAATAAAAATAGATCCTAAATCCATTAAAGGCAGATGATGGTACCTGCGGCGTTTGAGCTTGCTCCTCAGCTTGCAGGAATGTTTGGAAAGCAGCGGCGTTCTCCTCCCCGTGGCACAGCCCAGGCACACGTGTAGGCATTGACTCGGCACGGGCTTGTTATGAAACAAGATGACAAACTGAAGGCAAGATGCGCCTAAAGTCATCCCCCAGCATCTGTGCACTGACCAGAAGGGTGTGCGAGGGGTTGTTTTTGCATATAAATTGTGCACAGTTTGGCAGCCTGTCTGTGTGATGGGGCAAGCAGTGTAGGGTATCATCTTAGCAGTGATGCACTAATGATCTGTCCTGCGCAATGGAGCTGCTCTTCTGGCTTTGCAGTCCTAAAATGCCATGGGCAGGGCTTGTCCAGGAGGATGCCGTGTCACCAGCATAGCCATCTTGACATCCTTGGGGGGTTTCTGGCAGGAACTGTTTGATTCTGAGGATTTAATCTCTTAAAACACAGCCGGTTTTGCTAGAGACTGAGTTATTAGGGTGTGCTTAAGTTTTGTGACATCTCCGCTTGGGAGGAGACCGCTTCCCAGACAGCCTTCGGGAGTGACGCTGGTACAGATTAGGTAGGTAGCTTTAATGTTACAGGCAGAAGCACGGTTTGGAGACAGCACTTTGGAAGCTGTAAGGAACCGAGTTTTATATTAGCGGGCACTACTGTGCACTTACCAAGTTAGTGTGCTTTCACTAGTGCGAGCAAGGAGATAAGATGAAGATGTAGGTAAGTGGCAATTTGGGGTGTTAAGGATCGCTTTTAACCAAGAAACATCTAAATTCACGCCTGCCCCTATCCTGCATGTTTTTGCAATGAATGAATGCGGATTTGCTGTAAGTCGCAGCAGACATCAACATCAAGATCTAGTTCTTACTCCTACCCCACAGGTAATTTTCACCCTTAGTTACATTACCTGCTAAATGTAGTCCAAGGACTCGTAGGGCCGTGACCATGAGATGTTTTCTTTAGAGAAAAATTCTAAAATGAATTTGAAGATTAAAAATTAAAGTTGAATTTCATCAAAGGCATAAAAGGAAAAAATACCAAACTCCCTTTTACTGGTTTTGATGCTGGTTTGGGATTTTTGTGGGGTTTGCTAGTTCAGAAAATCTTTCAAAAAGTAGGTAGAATCATTTTTGGAATAGGAAGGAGCCTCCACCCTTCTGCACGACTAGAGGGATCTGTGTGGCTTCACGTGCCACTCCAGGGAGTACAGAGAGACTTTTTAATGAAGTCTTAATGTGTGCCCTCATGTGAAATCCTCTCTGGAAGTGTTTCCTGTGGTCGCACACACTAGTGCCTGTAAGAACGTCTGGTTAGGTAGCAGCGCTGCGTTCGCATCTCTCATTGTATAAGCCACTACCCAACTGATTTTGCGAAAGAGCTATCCAAAGTTTTTGGAAACTTGTTTTTTGGTGGTTTGTTTTGTGGGGTTTTTTTTCCCCTTTTTCTTCTGAATCTAGGAATCGCGTTGCTGTCTCACAAATATGATTAATTTCATAAACCTCAGTTGGCAGCATTTTTAATCAGACTCCCTGAAGTGAGGTATCTTCAACTGCCTAAGTAATTTATCGCGAGCGATTCCTGGAAAGGCAGTATGGCCCAACGGAGTCATTTGTACACCCAAATTTCCAAGCCCTGACTGTTGGCTTGCTCTGTGACCCTGGGCAAACAAATTACTCTTTTTAGACCTTATTTTATATGTCTGCAAAAGTGGCCATATTCCAAGTACAGTACGAGGAGGATCTGATTTAGGCTGCACACACGGGAGAAAGTACAGGAGGCCCCAAAGGAGAGGTGCTTTATGGCTTGAAGGCGGCTGGGGCAGGACTCAGCAGACTAAGCTATGAGAAATTTGATTATTTTAATGTGTTTTCAAGTGGTCTAAGTCTGAAAATATGGCAGGAGAATGCAGAATCAAGAGTGAGTTCATTTACTAGATTATTATAAACTGCTTAGGAGGTCATTCTGCTGACTTTATGAAACTCCCTAGACTAGTGTCTTCTTTGGTTCACCCCACAGAATAACTTGAAATTTTTAAGTGGTGTTTGCTCTAGAGATACAAAAATTGCTTCTGAAATTACTTTGATGTATACTGAATTTTATCTACCTCTATTGGATTATGGAATAGTTTTTCCCTGTGTTATCTATTGTCATCTTTCTGATGTACTGAGATTTGTGTTAGCTTGTTTCCCAACATTTTGAGGAGGAGATAAATAAATGCCTGTAACTCTGAGTGAATGCAGAACGATAACAAAAGAATGTGCCTTCAGAAATGATGGATTATCATAAGAATGTACATGTATGCCATTGTAGATACAAACCAGCCTCATAAATTTACTATCAGGAAAAGAATCTCCTGCGAAGATATTGAGCCCTGCCTCCTTTCCATAAATATTTGATTATTATGGAAATAATTTGTGGATTCTTGTCCAGAGAAAGCTAATGCTTTAATGGGAGAAAGCAGGGATGCTTGTCCTGCCGAAAGAACCCAGCTCATAGGATTTGCTAAGAACACTTCTGGGTTGAAGAGCAAGTCCCGTATTACCTTGTATTGTTTTAACAAAAAAAAATTTGCTGCCCTACCTGTGTGTGTTTGTGGTACTAGTGTCCGTTGTGTTTGAGCGGGCTTATTTTACTGTTAATATTGCATTTGAGTCTCTCTAGTTTGTATTTTGGGGGTCGTTTGCGTAAGGATCTTTCTGCTACAGATGAAAACATAAGTTTGTTCCTTTGGTTAAAAGAAAGGATATCTAGAATACAGTCCTGTATGTGTATCCTGTGTAGGAACACATTGATTTACAATAACTATAATACTATATTTGGGGTCTGGAGTGCTTATATTAAAGAAAATCCATCATGATGACAATGTAATAAATGTAATATGCATGTCAAGATGAAAAATATAATTCATTTTGATAAGCCTTATATATCCCATATTACTGTGTTCTTTGAGGAACATTCTCCCTGTTCTCTTTCTCTCTCTTAATATATGTCTAAAGTCTTTTCCTTATGTCTTTCCTACCTAGCATCACCCTCTCCTTGTTCATTTTCTGTCCAAAGCAAAACCCTTCAGAGCAAATCTTTGTTGAATTCCTACTACTCAGGTACTAGTGCCAGACTTTTCTTTCATTTCTAAATTTTCTTTGCTTTTGTACGTTTCCCAATATGACCTATAGACTGAACCTTCTGAGTGTGAGATATAGCTAACCTTGTTTTCATTTTTTGTAACTTTTTTCCTATTGATCTTCTGTTGATTTCCATTGATCGTGTCGTGTGGGTGAACGGAATTCCATCTCAAAGTATCATCAGACACTGTTCCATCGACCACGCTGTTAGGTAAGAAGACAGGTATGGTGTACTGCACTTCATTGGAGAGCAAACATACTGATTGCATCTTGAAAATAACTCGGAGAACACTGTTAATAGACTGGGCTTCAAAATCATAATTAATCCTGTGGACATGTGTTGTGTTAATTGGAAAGTCTTTTGTTTCACTTATGCTTTATTATAGTTATTAATTGTCATTTTATTTTTTTAAGGGAAAGAACGGTTCAAAAATTAAGGTTTAGAAGTTCTATCAAGTATTTGTTGTTTCTTTTTGTGAATGGGATTTGACGTTCTGGACCAAATTCCCACGTATCACCTTGCCCTCGTCTTGGTTTTGACTCACGTAGGTGGTTGTGCCTGTGCAGCTGGCATAGAATCGTAGAATGGTTTGGGTTGGAAGGGACCATTAAAGCCCACCTAGTCCAACCCCCCTGCCATGAGCAGGGACATCTTCCATTAGATCAGGTTGCTCAGAGCCCCCTCCAACCTGAGTTGGAATGTTTCCAGGGATGGGGCATCCACCACCTCTCTGGGCAACCTGGGCCAGCGTCTCACCGCCCTCAGCATAAAACATGTCATCCTTATATCTAGTCTCGATCTGCCCTTTTTTAGTTTAAAACCATTGTCCTGTGAGTGAGGCTCAGCTAGGTGTGCTTCAAAGCCTGCAAATATAAGCGAGGGTTTGCATGGCCAAAGGTGATGGGACCTTACAGTTTTGGACTCAGTTGCAAGTAGAAGGGTTATTTGGAGAAATCAGAGGGTGGGTTTGGGCAAGCGGCCCCACCTCTTTCAGTGTCTGCTGAAATGCTAAATACTCAAGCGGTTTGGTATAGGTTTGAGAGGATAACAAAAAGGCAGGTTCTGAGAGGCGGAGGCTGTTCTCTGGCTGCTGGTAACTTTAGAGGGAGGTGTTAGCGTTCAGCATCTCTGAAAATTAGCTTTTCTTGTTCAGATGATAAATAAAGCATCCAGTGTGCAGCTCTTAGGTATGGGATTTTTAAAAATAATACGTTTTTACAGTAAGTTAACAGAGACAGCAAAATTGGCAGAAACTGTTAGCTGATAAAAGAAGTTATCCGGCAACTTACTGGAGGTGTACTCTTGAAAGCGAGTAATAACAGCCTGCAACTTCAGGCTCTCCCTGGAGGATGCTGCCCGCGTGCGGAATTTGAAGAAAGCAATTCCTCTGCTATGAATCAGAAGGATGATGTGTGGTTGATCAGAATCTAACCAGTGGTATTTATCAGACCTGTCATTTCGGATTATCTACAGTAAATGTTCACTTCCAGACACAGTAATCTACCGTGGCTGCTTTAAACATTACTCTGAGCGTGTTGAAGGCCCACAGTTAGACCAGGAAGAAATTACAACCGATCGCTTAAAGTGCCTTGGCTTGCGGGCTAACGGAGGTTTGGAGGGACTGCCACAATACACACATTTACCCTGCCGTCTGTCAGAGTGCTGACGGCAACGGATGAGCCCTCTTTTAACAGGGTGGGGAAGGAAGAGAGTCCTTTTTCCAGAAGGTTTGTTCTCATTTCCCAGAGACTCAGTGTGGTCAACAGAAAAGTCTAAAGGTAGATTTATCTTTCGGCTATACTTTAGAAACAGGGCCCAGCCCTGCAGTTTGCTGGAAGATGTCAAACTGTTCTCAGTCAGGGACTCGGCATCTGTGAAAACCGGACTCTCAGCTGAGGGAGCTGTTTTCCCCGCTCTGTCCCGATGGTGAGAATTACGGTGTGAACTGCGCGCTTTGCAGTGTGAAGCTCAAGGAGCCATAGACAGATTCAATCTGTGCTGCTCATGGGAAAGCAAATGCCAAAAAAGCTTCCAAAACTTTCAAAATCCAAAATTTTAAAGAGAAAAAAGAGGAAATAGGAATTAAACTGGTCTTGTGCTTATGTATTCAAAACTCTTTCACACTTAACTTTTACTAACTACTATATCTGAGTAAGGATCAATATCCCTGTTTTACACGTGGGAACTTAAGTACAGAGCACTTTTTAGACATGGTTTACACGGACTGGTTACGCCCCTGGTTCCATCAGAATTTAACAGCCATAGATGCTGTGAAACAGCTCTTGGTGTTGAAGGAATTTCTGTCTTGTGACTTAAAGACAAAATAAAAGATTGGTGTTCTGGCTTCTCGGACAGATTCACCAGACATGTTGCTGTATGAGCAAAATAAGTTTAATTTTTGACGTTTACTAATATTCATTCCTGTGAAAGAAAAAGAGATCTTAGAAAGGGGCATCAGTCATCCCACTACCAATATCCGTCTTTGGGCATTACCTGCAGTTCAGTGCTATTTGTTCGCATCTGTTCTGCCTTCTAATAAATGTTTTGTATCTGCAGTAGCAGATGACTCCCCAGGCTTGGCTGTGACATGATTTGTTGGTAGTAAGATATAGGGGATTTTGGTTTTGCCTCTACCCTGTTCCATGCTTGATTAATACTTTTTTATGTAATGCATGGTTTTAGTTCCATAATTTTCTCTAGAACTCTAGATTTAAATGTTTTGCGCAAGCATATTCACTAGAGAAGCAAATATTTAATATTAACAAATAAAGGAGTTAGATTTCCCTATTTTTAATACTTCACTGAGGCCCATGTACCAGTATTGCAAAGCCTGAGCAGGTGTAGTACAACCTTAGAGGGTGTTGTTGGAGAACACGTCCGTGGCCAGTAGTTCTCAAAGATGTTCAGCAGATGTCTCTTGAGGGGACGCAGCATGTCCTTCCCTTGCATCTATTAACATCTCCCAGCAATGTGTAAGGACATTTACCCTTGTTCTACATTTCAACTACTCGAGAGGATCCTAACAACAAGAGTCGCTGCCCTCTAGAGAGGATGAGGACTGCAGTGCCTTGTAGTTCCTTGCAGATGGGTGGAACAAGCTGCCATGAAGCCTCACATGAAAACTGGCTTCTGCTTAGACATAGAAATTTCCCCTGAATTTCAGTCTTCTGTAGCTTGGATGGGCTTTTCCCCATGCCTAATCAGTCTGCTGCGGGCACGTACACAACTTGATGTTTGAAGATCTCAGAAGATATGAAGCAGCTGATAGTGCGGCTTTAGCAAGTGTCACCATTATACTGGCTTTTTACATTGCGAGATGAGTTCTTTTTGTGCAACGGAAGCTCGAAAATCAATGGCGTGATCTGTTCAGTTGTATCCGCAGCCTCCCGGGCCACGTCAGCCTCTAAGGAGCTGTGGGAGAGCCTTTCACATCAGGTGGCTGTGCTGGTGTTGGCCTGCAGCAGAACCAGCAATGGAGGCGCGTGCCCTCGGAGGCTGTTACTTGAGCTAAATTGGGAGCTTGGAAAACTCTCTCTTCCCATCCTTAGTGGCTTCTAGTTTTGTGTGCCATTTTGAAGTTGCCGGTAGTTTTTCAGCTGTAACTAATGAATGGCTCTGTAAGGTGGGTCGGTGTGACAGCCTCTTCTCGCCAAGGGGGCGAAGCAGGGTTTGACTTGCTGAGGTCCACTCCACACGTTTGAAGAGCTGCACTGCCACGCGTGTCCCTGATAGTCCCAAGTCTCAGCCCACCTCACAAAAGCATCTTCCTTCCGTCTTGAAGGGGGTTTTCTTCTGTGCAGGCTGATGGGAAAAAATGCATGCAATAGTTTTTATAAGATTAGAATACGCTTGTGTAAGATGTTTACCAAGCGATTCTTAAAAATCTCTTAAGAATCTAGAGAAAATTACTTTCTCCAGCTTTTTTTTTCTTTTCATTATTATTATGCACATGTGGCTTCTTTGTAGCCTTTGAAATGAACGATGCATCCTCTGCTCTTTGTCAAACCTGTTGTCAGTAGGTTTTTTGTTAAGGAACGTGCCTTTTTATAGCTCGGTTGATATCATTAGACAAATGGTGGTTTAACTTTGGTTTGCCGTACCGCTGTTTGTATTGCATATAGCATATTATAGCTGGATATTTATCACATAATAAAGCCTTGATGCACACAAAAAAGCAAATTAATTTTACCAGCTTGCACTGTATCCCTAGTGTAAGGGGAAGAGATATTAGCCATGCTGCAGTCATCCTTGGAAGATGTCAAGTAATTGACAACCCTTACTGTAGTGTAGAGAGACTGGATATGTGGGTAATTAAATCCATCACAAACACCACTCAAAATATAATTTATTTTGTGCAAAGGATGTCTTATCGTGTTACACACTTGCCAAGGCTAAAAGAATAAAAATATAAGCGGAGATGATAGGCCTGTCATTTCAGACACAAGGAATCCGTCGATACTAAAGCAGAAGTTTTGAAAGAAACTTCTCTACATGTACCGGATGACACATCAGTGCAGCGTTACTTTTAGTTGTGTGAGGCACAGGTTAGTTTTCTGGTCAGAAGGCAGCATCTTGCTCTGTGTCCAGATGCTGATCTCTCAGACTAACAAAGCTATGTTGACAAAACAAGATGACATCTGTAGAAGGATCTAAAGTTTCGGTCCCCAGAGGGGCTCTGGATGGAGCAGGTCCCCTCCCAGCAGCCTTGCGGGGACGTCACACAGGGGTCTGATCCTACACAGCCACTTCCAAGCTGGGAATCTAATTTCTCAGCTACTGTTCGTCTTACCTGTGACATCTATGGAGGAGTTTTTCAGTGGAGGGAGACGTATTTATTTTACTTGTCTGGGTAGCAACAGAAGTATATAATCCAAGGTGTTGTAGCAGCAGGTAAGCAATAATATCTTACCCTGAGGGTTCCTCATCAAACGGGGAAAAATGCCGCCTCGCTGGCCTCTGCTTCAGCTTGTCTCTGCCCCTGGACTCCTTTATGTTTCTCTTGGCAGAGTGAGACCTCAGAGTTCACTTCAGCAAGTTCATGATTATTTCTCCAGCAAAGAGGAAGAAGCACCATTTTCATAAGCAGGGGCTTTGTGAATTTTAGAAGTGGAGTCAACGTTGTTAAATTTGATTATCTGCTGTTACACGCTAAACAGATAAGCTGAGAATGCCTGAGGAGTTCCCAATCAAGCTAGTTATGTGAGAGCCGGCGAATCACTGATTTAATGTCTTACACAAAATTCCGGGGTATTCTGTGAACTCTTAGGCTGATAATGAAAGTGCCAGCTTCCAGAAATCAAAATATCTGCATTGGCAACGGGTATCTTTGTACGGGGAGTAAGAGCGTTGCACTAAAAAGGGTTAGCAAACAAGCTGACAATGTATTTTGCTATTGCAAGCTGCTAATGTTAATAATGATCCTCTTAAACAGCATGTTTCCAGCAACGTGCAGAATACCTGTTTTAGTTACAGCCGCACAAAAAGAACTGTGGAAAATTGGAAATGGTTGTAGGAAGGAAGGAAGCGGAGCCCTGAACAGACTGCCCTAATGAGACTTCAGAAGCTCGCAATTGAGTTACTTTATCAAAGGGAAACTGAAGAAGTGATTTGATCAGTGCCTGCGTGGGTCAAGATTTCAAATGCTCAGAGGGCTCTTTAATCTAACAGAAGGTGTAATAAGATTCAGTGCCTGCAAGTTGAAGCTGAGCAAAATCAAATTGCAATTAAGAAATGTTTAGACAGCAAGGGTAATTAACCGTTGCCACAACTTTTGGGGTCAGAATGGAATCGCCATCTCTTGAAATGTTTTAATTTGGATTATTTGTTGGAACTGTATTCCATCTTTGGTGTGCAATGAAGTACGGAGGTATGTCTCCCTATCAAAAAAAATGAGGACATATGACTAGAAATAAGATGTGCATATGAAATGTAATCCAAAAAAACGTGGTGCACAATTCTGTATGTTTAGTAGTTTCTGAGTATTAGAGTGAATTATTTCAAGCATCTTTCGGGGTGGGGGGGGAATAAAATCTGTTTTCCCAATTCGCTCTTCTCACTGAAAACTCATAAAAGGCACACACACTTTAGAGGCACTGCCGAAACTTTAGTGAAAGTCTTGGCCAATTTGTCCTACAAACTCATCCTCATTTGCGAGGGAATGGGGGAATCTTTGTGAGAAGGGAACGGGGAGAAGGGACTATGGAAGATTTCTGTCACTTGGCTTTAGTGCAACGATTAAAGCAGGAGCCTGACTTTGCTGAGGCGCTGCTATTTTTGTTGTCTTTTCCAGTAATAACGGTGCCAAAAGGAACGAGATGTGGTTTATAGCTGCAACTTGCAGGAAAAGCAAAGGCTGTTCACAAGCCCTCCAAAGATCCTTTTGGTTGGTAGTCCTCGTGAGAGATCAGTTTGGTGCTGCCTCCCCTCCTACCCACACTTTGAATTGTCCACAGAATTGCTGTAAGCAGCGCATCTTGAGGGAAGGTGGTTGAGTGCCTCGTTAACCATGGTTAGGTTCAGGCTCATGGGGTGATTAGACGGAGAAGGAACAATATGTTCCTTGCAGCAGGCTTTATTAGCAGAACATATGAATGCCAGGCTCACCTCGTGCATAGCGATTTGTATCCATGAAAGCCCCTCCGCTCTGTCTTTGGCCCAGATAAAACACTGGTGCGAAGAACCCACAGCAGTCCTGAGCTGGTGCAGAGGTCGGGCTTGGGTTTTCTGTCAGGTGGCGCAGAGGCCATTCAAGATGCGTTTGTCACGGCCGTCCAGAGGAGGTGATCTGCCCGGTTTCGGCTCTGTGCATCACTGGGTTGAGGGTAGGATGACCCGGATTGTGTGATGTTTTATAAGCAGCACCGCGTGGCTGGCAGAGACACGCAAACAGTGTGACGCCGCGGACCCTGCTGCCAGAGCTGTTACTACAGGCGGTGGGGTTGTGCCGTGTGTGACCCGTCTGACCAAAGAGAGCAGAAGCGCGGTCGTCACTCTGAACTCAAAGGCCAGGGTCAGGTCCTTCTTTGCTACTGAGCAGCTTCTTCCGCTTCCGTGTTCGTAACACGGGTACTGCTTTGAGGGAAGTCATCCTGGAAAGGAGGGGGCATCGCTTTTCTGGCTATCGCCTCTCCCTGTGATATTTCTCGCTGAGAAGAGAGACGAGTGTACCAGAATTAAAGGATCTGATGAAGAGAGAAATTAATAATTGCCTGCAAAGGAGCTGAGTGATCTGAGCTGTGTCGTACAAGTAGCCTGTGCTCTGCATGTGCCCTGACTGTATTAGCACTAGAACCGCACATTAGTTTTAAGACTCCCTCTCGAATAGGGATATCGTAATGTTTTTTAATTGGGGCTGATGAAAATGTGGCATTACTTGTAGGTTCCTCAGAGAAGCCAATTGTGAAATTGGGTTTGTATTAAACCTAATGATGGAAAATTAAGCATAGTACGTCTGTCGGAAATGGTCCGCAATAAAAGTCGTCTCCTCTCCATTACAGGAGGTTAATAGGGAATAGGGGAGGAAAGATGCACTGGGAAAGCGAATCCAACTAGGGGAATTAATAAGCCTTGAAATTCCCTCTGTTCAGAGTTCTCACACTATCATTAGTCGGAGCATTAGGGATGATTATACAAATGCTTTGGATGTTACTCTTCCTTAAATCCCAAATTTATTCACATTTTGTATGTGAGGGTTGCTTTGCTAGAGCCATAGCTTGGTAAATCTCTGAGTGTCCTGGGAATGTGACTGCGTTTATGAGAACCTGGGATTCAGAAATCCTTACATTCAGTAGCCTAATCTTCAGAGCAGATGATCACTTTGCGCTCAGTTATTTCAGAAGCAGGGGGATGCGTTCAGCATCTCTGATAACTCAACCACCAGGCTTGGTCTCGCACCAGACTTGAGCTTGCCCTGCGGCAGTGTCCACTGCTGGCCTTCCTTTCTCCTTCTCGTAGCCCTGCGACTTCAAAACAGAGCATACGCCTGTCTTGCTATCTTGCCCCTAATATAACAGTAGACCAGCTAGAGCTTGATTTGTCTTGTTTTGTCGTGTGGTTGGTTTGCCAGCTGCTGGGAAGGCAGGCTACTGCCCTCCGCGGTCTGTTCCTGCCCAGCTGGGCAGCGATGGACAACGGCAGAGGAGATCCTGAGTGCTGCCGATCAAAACTCCATGGCGATTTCTCAAGGATAGCAATGTTTACAATAGCATTCCGGCCATATTTCTGCCTCACAAAATTCACCCTGAAATTGCAATTTGATTTATTTATTCTTTATCCCTTCCAAAACATGACTGCAGTATTGCTGACAGGGGATGATGTTTAGGCTCTTTGTCGGTAAGCTTTCTGTAAGGATCAAGCCTTCTGTATGCAGTCTTAAGGGGGTTTTATGAACAGTCTGAGGGAGATATATTTTCTGTTTGCTAATACTTTGATTTTGGGTAAGACCAGAAAGAATGGATGCAGGCTATTAAGGTCTGTATGTGCAAAAGAACCCGGGCACCTCAGATGCCTGTAATAATAGGAACAAACAATGGCTTATTTGGTCAAGTCTGGTGGGTAGGAAACTAAATTTTTCATCTAATCTGAGTTTCTGTTGTTAAAAATAACTGTTATGACAGTCAACTGTTTGGTTAGTTAAGCTGTTTCCTATTACTTTACCAGGTATATTTTGTTGTGTATGTGTTGTGCTGGGGTTATAAGAGGTTGCAATTCCATCTGTGTGGTGATACAGTTTTTTTAATGCATTTCTTTCAAAAAGAAACTTCTTCTGTTAAGTTTGCATATCTGAAATTTAAGTTTCTGCATGCAAGGTAACTATATTTTTTTGCTGGTTTATTCTTTCTGATAATATTACGTCTTTGTAATTGACATACAAATTTTAGGCGTGAACTAGCAGAGCATTTTGATTTGCCTCTAACACCCTGTGTGGCTTATTTGAAATGCTAATAATTTGTTTGCTATTAACTTGGGCCCCTTTCAGTTATCTCCTGTTGTACACCCCAAATCCTGCTTGAATATCTTGCTCATCTGTATGTATCTTTCAGTCATGTTGTTTGCAGGTTGGTGGAAAAAAAGGTACGTAATTTGAGTGGAGTCATTACGCAGAGCTCACCCGTACAAAATGTGCTATTTTGCTCTATGTGCTGTATCCTCGTTAGCCTGATTGGCTCTTTACTCCGTTTCCCGTCTCTTTGGGTTTGTCTCCTCGATGCAAAAAATATTCAAGTGTGATTTAGTCTTTCTAGGCAGCTGTAGGCAACTGTGTGTTTCCTACTTATTTCTTTACTTTCTTTTGCCTGCACCAACCTATGGGGTAGTGGAGAAAGAAAGAAACGGAGCAAGGAGGAGAGTTGGAAATACCAGAGAGGTGAAAGCTTGTTTTGCCTCCCTCTCTTTAAAACAGACAGTAGCCATGGAGAGATGGCCCAGCCAACCCTGACTATCCAGACCCACCCGTACCGGAGCTGCGAGCCGGTGGAAATGTCCTACCCCCGGGGGCAGTTCCAGCCAGCCATCCGAGTGGCCGACCTGCTGCAGCACATCACCCAGATGAAGCGGGGACAGGGCTATGGATTTAAAGAGGAGTATGAGGTGAGAGGAACCTTTGCTGATGTGAACGAGTAGAGAAGTTGTGCTCGCGCAGGGTAGATGCTGGGGCGGGGAGGATAACGGTTTTTAAGAGCTTCTTTTCCCTAATTCACTTACCCTCCTAATCCTTTCCTTTCTCCGTCTTTTTTCTGATTAAGAGAGTAGGGTTTTACAGTGCTAGCAATCTTTGGTGGCACTCTAGTCCAAAGAAAAGGTGTTTACTACAGCAGTAAAAAAATGACGTTGTGCTCATTCATTAGCATGTGCCCTCTCTCCCGTAAAAAGCAGACAGTAAATATTTAAGAGGTGCTGAACTCAACAAAGTACCTGGAGTCCCCTCGTCCCTTACTTATTGACGGGCTCTCATCAACACCAGCACACGCCAGGCTTTGAGCAAAGGAAGGGGTTTTACTTCAGCTAGTCGGGAGCTCCAAATACTCTGTAACAATTGATCAAATTAAATCGCAGCATCATGACCTGAATGCAGAACTGTAAAGGCAAAGGCAGGAACCTTGTGTAGCTTAAATGAAGGATGGAGTTTTCCAGTATGCTCAAACCTCTGACTCAGAATGTGTTCCGCTGACATACTCGGTTCCAACTCCACGTGAGGAGAGAAGCAAAGAGTAAGCTGCCAAAATGAAAGCAGCCCTCCTCCTCCCCACCTCTTCCCTCCCAAGCTAGAATGACCAGGAAAGTAATCCAAATGACAAGAAAGATGACACTGGGGAGGAGTTGGAAGAGGAATATACATTTCGAGGAGAAAGAACAGAAAAGGGAAATAGCATCAAGCATATGTGAGACTTTGCTCTAGCAAGCAGTAATTGTAATGTAGTAAGCTTGTGGGAAGGCAATAAGCAATTAATATGCATAGTGGCATTAAAACTACTTAAAAATAACGTAACAGCTGTGAAAAATAAGTTACTTAATGAAAACAGCTCACTTTTCCACCCTGCAAGTAAGAGTCCATGGGGTTTGTATCATTGATGCTGGGTTTCGCTCTAATTGAGAGGCAATCTTTTCCTGGTTCTCACCAGGGAGTATTTTTTTTTAATCAGATGGCATCAAAGACTGTCATAACAAATGTTTCTGGTAACTATGTTAACCTGATCTGGTCACTCGTGCCCCACAATCAAGCACGCTAATTAAACTATCAATATAAAGAGCTCTGTTTAATATTGAAAAAGGGTAATAATTCTCTGAGGAGATTTACTTAGCCCCCCCTTGGCCTCCATTTCCATGAATAGTACCCAAAACTACATTCAGCTCAATTACAGATGCCCTAAGATCTAGTTCTTGATGCTCAAGAAGAAAACAGGTGCTGGCATATATGTAATTTTCTGGCACTGGCATTGGTAATTATCAAAATAACACATTAGCATGAAAAATGTCAATGCAACTTTCAGCTCCACAAGTTCTGCCTTTCCCGGAAAGTGCTATCTACATACGTATATAATGACGATGACATTATATAGATTTGCATAATTCCTTTCTTTACAAGAAAAAGCCTGGAGAATGCCACAAGCTCTCAAATCACATGCGCTGTTCCACCCTTCAATCAGAGGTAATTGCCCGAAGTAGCAGTCATTTTCTGTGGGGGAATTTGGGTTTCAGAGCATGGGGCGCAGGCAGCACTTCAGCTCCAAACAGCTTTCAGCCCCCACCGCCGCCGGGAGGATGTCGAGGAGTGTTAAAGCTCCTGGAAGGCGGGAGGTTTAGGTTGGCCGAGAGTGGTGTCTCCAGCTGGGATCTGGAGGAGCACAAAGCTGCAAAACTGGCTTTGCAAAACGTTCTGCAGAACGGTTGATAAAAACCTAAAAAAGAATTCGATGTCTCTTTTAAAATGTGTTTTCATGCACTAATACCAGCATCACCTCCAAATATGTTTTTTTTTCTTCCAAGGCGCTGATTTTCTACTCACTTTGCAAATTGATAGCATAAATTACAGCCTGTTTAGTGACATGTTACCAAATAATTTTACTGTCATGAAAAATCACTTTGAATGGAGTGTATCAGTCACACATGGCAATGTCTTATCTCTGTAAATTCTCATCTCCACGGAGTAACCTGGAAATTGCATTCGATATTTGTTTAAAATATACCTTCACCTACATTAGAGCACAAGGCCACGTGTTTTACCGAGGGCATCTGGAAAAGTACTCGTGGTGCTTGTGTCTCGCGCGTTCCTCCCCACGGAGATGGGAAGCAGGATGAGATTGTGTGAGAGTGGTGTCACTGCTGGTGGGAAACAGATGATAACTGTGTGCGTGTGAACGTGGGAATCTGTCAGTACTTGCCGTGTGTGTGTTATTTCGGGTCTGCCTGCCGCACCTGCGGCCAAAGTGTGACTTGGGCCTTTTCGGCTGCTGCTTCTGTTCAGCAAGAAAAGGTGTAGACCGCAAGAGAAAAACATATCACCAGCACTGGATGTAGGTAGCACTATTTGGGATTAGGCATAGCTGTAAACGTTGAAACAGGACACGTTTAAATGTCACCTGTTCCTTTTCCAAAACATATCAGCCCGGATTTGTTGTGAGCTGCAGGACTAGTCCCACAGTCTTAATGCGGGCACCAATTACAGGCTACAGAGGTAATAAGCTTAAAGTATCCAAACTCATTTTCCAGTATGATTTAGGATGTCACTAAAGTACATTCTCCAGCTTCATTACTGGGACCACTTAGTTACTTTGGCTTTTGTGGCTCCTTCCTTAACTGTCTTAGTATTGGGAGTCTTCAGCCTATTGAAGTCACCTCTGCATTTTAACCCTTTTGTTTCTGGCTGGCTACACATCTGTCTGGTCAAAAAGATGGATCCTGTGGTTCAGGCTATGACATGACAATGCAAAATGTTTGGCAGCGGGGTGTTACTGTAGACGCTCTCCCTGGACAACGTTGGCTTAAGGCTTTGCTACAAACCAGAATGGGGAACTGCAGTGGCTGAAATACTTCTTTTCAGTTTTTGGGGGGGTTTTTTTGGTGGTGTTTTTGGGGTTTTTTTTGTTTGTTTTTCTTTTCTTTTTTTTTTTAATCCAAAGCAGTTTTTAACCCTGGGTCACGGCAACGTTGTGGGAACTGTTTTGCCACCACCACTGAGAAGGTAGTGGCCGCAGGGAGAGGGCCGGGCCCCTGCGGCAGACTCTGAGATGAGCAGCAATGCTTTTAACTGATGTTGTTGCCTTTGGCAGCAATACCACAGCATTGGGGTAGATCAGTGCAAATGAATGATTCCCATTTTCGTATTTAAATTAAAAAAAAAAAAAAAAAAACCAACACAGAAAACTAAATGCATCCATTGGAAATTTAAATTGGCTTGCAATAAGCCTCAGTTTAATGGGAACACTTTAGTTATGTTTGGGCTATGTCGCTTAGAAAGCTTGATTGAGTTGAAGCTGACTTTGAGATCTGTCCTTTTAATTTCAGATAAAAATTAGATCAATTTAGTTTAAAAAGCGTCATTGTAACCTAAATTCCACTACTGGGAAAATATTTCAGTATAAATTTTACAAAACTTGTCTAAAAGGAGAAAAGTGGAAAAAAAAGGCTGAAAAACGAGTCCGGATTTTTGGACGCTGAAATTTTGCTGTTAACAAATCAAAGAAAGAAAGGGGAGTGTTTCTTGTGAAATGCGGACCAAATACCGATGCCTGAGTGATCTATCCTGATTTAGCATTGCTGATAACGCAGAGAGTAACAGAAATATTAACCCTTTTTGCTATTATTGTACAAAGAAAAACTGAAGGACGAAACCATTAGACATGCTCCTCTTTTTGTGGATGCAACCAAATTCTAATTGTTTTTTTTTGCCTTTGTATTTCTAACGCAGTTTCAATTCTTGGTGCTGCACTTTTAGTGATGTCACAGAAAAATTGTTTGTGCTGTACCACCCGTGTACATGCAGTTACTCCAATTTGTTCACCTGGCGTGTATGAAAGTAGGGGTGTAGGGTACACACCTCTGCAAAGGCAGTTTGTGTTCCCCACCAGCCAGAGCTGTGCTTCCTCTCTTCGGAGATGGATAGTTCTGTGAAAAGCAGAGATTTCTTTGGTACTCAATGAGATGAAAAATCCTGAACTCTTAAATCTTTGGAGGCTATTTCAGAAAAATATAAAAACATTAATTCAATGGAGAATTTCCTGTTCAAATCGCGTGAAAGGATAGGGTTAGTTGGAAAGGGATTTATTGGATCTGAATGTCTTTTCTTTGGCCATGATAGCCTCTCCCATGTGGAAATCATGAGAAAGGATCTTGATCTTCCTCTTCTTTTCCCCTCTTCTTTTCCCCTCTTCTTTTCCCCTCTTCTTTTCCCCTCTTCTTTTCCCCTCTTCTTTTCCCCTCTTCTTTTCCCCTCTTCTTTTCCCCTCTTCTTTTCCCCTCTTCTTTTCTCCTCTTCTTTTCCCCTCTTCTTTTCCCCTCTTCTTTTCCCCTCTTCTTTTCCCCTCTTCTTTTCCCCTCTTCTTTTCCCCTCTTCTTTTCCCCTCTTCTTTTCCCCTCTTCTTTTCCCCTCTTCTTTTCCCCTCTTCTTTTCTTTTCCCCTCCTCTTTTCAGCTGGCTGTGGTTAGCTGTCTAATGACTGTTGCCATTCTCTGGTTAATCTGCTGTGATTTGATATTAGTGGAAAAATAAGGCACCTTTTTCCCTCAGTCTTTGAAGATGAAAATGAACCTTCCTCACCTCTTTTCTTTTACTTGGGGATTTTTTTTGTTGTGTGTGGGCTTGTTGGTTGGTTGTGGTGCTGGGTTTTTTTGCTCAGGAGATGAGCTGCTATTTGGAAACAGCTGCCTGTAAAGGAAATAGATGTGTGATCAAAGCCCTCACCAATTACAGAGTTATTACTTTTTCTCCTGGGCTTTTGAATAGGAACTCGCTGTCCCTGTCTTCTGTCAGCAACGCTCCTGGCAGTGCTGCAGTGCCTGACATTTTGCGTCCTGGAACCCCTTTGGGGGAAATGCACAGCGATCTGGTCTGCCAGGGGTTTGCTCGTATTAAGTTTAATTGTAATGTCAGTGTTGTAGATCCAAATAATTGTGTCTCTCTGCTGTTGCGTTCAGGCATTGTAATGGACCTGGATGGCTTGTGAAGATGAATATAAATTCATTTTCTAGCACAGCCATGTCAAACTACCCGCTGCTAGCTAAGGCAAATACAAACCTACGACGACTGTGGTATAAAAACCCCGCAATTACAGAATCATGGAATTTTCAGAGTTGGAAGAGACCTCTAGAGATCATCCAGTCCCACTCCCCTGCTAAAGCAGGACTGCCCAGAGCACATCACTCAGGACTGCATCCAGGCGGGTCTTGAAAATCTCCAGAGAAGGGGACTCCACCCCCTCCCTGGGCAGCCTGTGCCACTGCTCTGCCACCCCAACTGTAAAGAAGTTTTTTTGTGTGTTGGAACGGAACTTCCTATGTTCCAACTTGCACCCATTGCCCCTCGTCCTGTCACTGGGAACCACCGAGAAGAGTGTGGCTCCATCCTCCTTCAGCCCACCCTTTAGATATTTGTAAGTAGTAATAAGGTCTCCCCTCAGCCTTCTCTGCTCCAGGCTAAAGAGTCCCAGCTCTCTCAGCCTTTCTTCATAAGGGAGATGCTCCAATCCTTCAGTCATCTTGGTTGCCCTTCGCTGGGCTCTCTCCAGCAGTTCCCTGTCCCTCTGGAACTGGGGAGCCCAAAACTGGACACAGTATTCCAGTTGTGGCCTCACCAGTGCCGAGTAGAGGGGGAGAATGACCTCCCTCGACCTACTGGTCACACTCTTCCCTATGCAGCCCAGGATTCCATTGGCCTTTTTGGCAGCAAGGGCACACTGCTGGCTCATTGACAATTTACAATCTACCAGGACCCCCAAATCCTTCTCCTCAGAGCTACTTCCCAGCAGGTCCACCCCTAACCTATACTGCTGCCTAGCATTTTTCCTCCCCCAATTCCCTAGGGACCATAAATAATACAGTTTATAATGTTGCTGCTTTTAGGGATATAGGATCATGTTAGGGAGTCGATCTTGGAGGAGGCAGATCTAGAGAGGAAATCCCGTGGGAGCTGTTCCTCTCCTCCCCGTGTTTCAGGCACAGGTCAGGGCTGGGCTGGCTGCAGCCGACACCGGCGCTTTGCCGATGGTGGTTTGCGGTGGTTGGGATGCCGGCAGTACCCAGGGAGCTGGTGCCGCTGCGGTTCCAGCAGAACGCACTACGGTGCCTCCCGCTTTCCTCCTCCTGCGCTGCCATCCCCGACCGTGCAAGGGCAGGGAGAGGGATCATCCCGCTCACAGGCAGTGCGGGACAGCTTCTGAGGAAGGCAAGACACTCCTCCAGCCTAATCCTGTGACAACTGCTGTTTTCCTGGTTTTGCCTTGAAAATCCTTCCTGGATGTGTCTCAAGGGGAAAGTGGCTCATTTGAGTGTGTTCAGAATAGTTACAGGACCAAGCTATAAGGTGGGGAAGCACTGGGTGCTGCCATCTTCCTTACCCCATCCTTTCTCAACTGAAAGAGCAGATTTTAGGAAAATGACTATTTATTTTCATAGTTGGTGAGCACATTTTACCTCCTTTTACCTCTCTTCCTTAGACATAATCTGAAACTCTGAGCTTTTATCTTTTCCCCCCAAGGAAACCAGATAGTGGATTATATTGCATCACCCCATCATTAATACAGAAATAGGTGAAACCACTGTATCTGTTTTCAACTTAAGGATGAGAGACTGAGCGCTGTGTTTCAGCCGTCTGGGTTTTTCTTGGAAGTGTATGTCTGCAAAATCTCCACAAACCCTCTTCTACGGGGAGATGGGGTTAACCTGTGCCTGTGTGGCCAGAAACACATTCTCCTGATCCTTTTAGATCTGAAGTAGCAGGAGGAAAATGATTCTTTGCTGGCAGAAGCCAAGGGACACAAACGGTCTGCACCAAGCTCTGCTTTCTGCATTAGTGGATATGGCCTTTCTTCAAGAACAGCTGTTTGCTTGGTTGACTACTGAATTATGCAGTGCCTTTATTTTTGCCCTTAATCCACCTGAAGGCATTGGCCAGATTTTTATGAACACTCTGCTACTGTTTATTTTGCAGGCGCTACCCGAGGGGCAGACGGCATCCTGGGATACAGCCAAGGAGGACGAAAACCGCAATAAGAATAGATATGGAAACATAATCTCCTGTAGGTGTAAATTCACATTAAATTGAGCTTTCTGTAAGATTTTGTAAGCATTCTGTGGAAAACGGTGTGTTTGAGAACCTCACTAAAAGCTGGTTTGCAGTGCTGAGGATTCAGTAGTTCAGTCTGTTTGTTACAAGCTACGTTTCTATGTTTTTTTTAATTTTATGTTTTTTTCATTGTTTTACATAAAGTCATTGCATGACTTTATGGTTTTTTACATGTTTTCTATCTACCTTGCTTTGTGCTTAATGTTTATAATTTAAGGGCTAAATCCTTTTGTCAGATTTTTGCAGTGGGTGATGATGCCCATTTCGTGGCCATTTTTACTACCTAACCTGGAGCTTTCAGTGCCACAAAAGGAGATGTAGAGCCATCAGATTTTTAAATATGGATCAGAGATCAGATTTTCTCCTTCCCTGTGGTCAGTAACCAGTGGAGCATTCACTGCTTGACCCCAGGGAGAGCTGGTTTGATGTGTGGGACAATATTAGAATCACAATAACGCAGCTGAAAATGCACTGAAGCTTCTTAGTTTTACTTCTTTCAATAACCAGTTACGGTTGATGTTATAGGAATATTGATACATCACAGAACTGCAGGGCGGTGGAGGACTCCATAAAACCATTTAGGTCAGCTTTATTCTCCAGGTCAAACTAGATTCACCTCTGTCGTTTTTATCAGATTGTGAAGCCTCTTCCTAACGATCTCCAAAGCTGAGCTTTCCCCGAGCTCTCCAGGCAGCTTACCCCAGTGTTTCATTATTCTTTTAATGACTGGGGAGAGGAGGTGTGAGAAATCATTCTTTTTAAGGGCTGCTGAGCAGCGTCAAGTTGGAGAAGTCAAGCCTGAGAGCATCAGAACAAGAAATAAGAATATAAATGAATGTGCCATAGATTTTCATGACTGGATAAATCTATGGAATGCTCTAAGAGTAAAGTAAGTCACACTGAGTGATATATTCGGTACTTTATTTTGTCTCAGGTTAAATATGTATTTCTTCTAGAACAAACAGACTTAACTAAATAAATTAAAAAAAAAAACACAAAAAAAATTGGCCACGAAGAAAGATCATCTCACACCTATCTTAACTACTCCTCTCTTTCTTTTAAGACTTGAATGAAATGAATCATGTAAGAGTTTTCGGGGAATGGCATAGAAAAGCTCAGTTCAGGGAAACCCACGGTAAAGGTGAAGAGAGGTGAAAATGGAGATGAGAAGTTTTTGCGCCCTGATCTGATCCCGCTCCTGCAGGTGGATTTCTGTGCACGAAGAAAGATCATCTCACATGTATCTTAACTACTCCTCTCTTTCTTTTAAGACTTGAATGAAATGAATCATGTAAGAGTTTTCGGGGAATGGCATAGAAAAGCTCAGTTCAGGGAAACCCACGGTAAAGGTGAAGAGAGGTGAAAATGGAGATGAGAAGTTTTTGCGCCCTGATCTGATCCCGCTCCTGCAGGTGGATTTCTGTGCTGGTTGTGAGCAGGTCGCCAGTCCATCAGTCTGTCTTTCTCTATGGGGAAAATGGAAGTGATAGTACTGGAGTATTACAGTTAGCGTGAAAATCATCTCCCTTAACTCCAGCTGCCTAAAAGCTCCACCTCGCTGCAAGTTTCCTGTGCTCCTTGTGGCAAAAAGAGGTACCTCCAGACAGAGGTTCAATTTACCCGTCTGTGTGATTAGCTTAGATCATATTAGTCTAAGACAGATGAATTGCCCAGCTATAACAACTGCACGTTGGATTGAAGATGAAAGTGCCATAGTGTGATACACGGAAGGAAACGTGAAAGACTCTTTGTTTCTTTCTATGATTTTGAGGAAGCAGTTGACATAATTTAAAAGTGGAGGTGAAAAGAGGCAAGACTGTGTGCAATAGCCACCATTTAATTTATGCTGAAGGTGGTCACAAAGAAAACATTGAACTCCAAGTAAAGTGTGAGAAGAAATTAAGGAAGCAAAACCGAGGAAGATAAATCAGGTATTATCTAGAGGGAGGGTGTTCACAAAGATGAATCGTTGTCTAATGAAGAGTGATGTTAGCCTTTTACCTATAAATATACATACAGTAGCGATACAGATAGGCGGTGATGAGCTTGAATAAGAGAATGCAAAATCTAATCCAAGGTACAGAAGAAGTGTCTGCACAGGATAAAACATCAGAACAGAAGCTCCAGTTTGAGGGCTGTTGGGAAAGATTTCAGAAGGAGGTCGAGAGGGTGGAAAGGCATCGGGAAGGAAAGCAAGGGAGTGAATGAGGGGAAAGATGCAGTAGAGTTGAAGGTAAATAACAAAGTTGAGTAGGTTTTCTTCGCTGCCAGTATATATGAAACACAGAGTTTGAGGAGGAAACTCTCCAAAAAGACAGCAAGGAGAATTTAGTGACATGCAATAAAGAGTGATAAAGTGAAATGAAGTGAAATTTTTTCTTCACTTTGAAGAGGCTCGGGAGAAGGAAGGCAAGATGCCCAAGGAAGGGGCATATCATTCATCAGACGTTTTGTAAAACCAGTGGGAAATTATCAGTGGTGTCGCTTGCTGAGCCTTGAGCCAGACCCTGCTGACAGGCGATGTTGGGCGACTTTCCTGATTTTTCTCAGGAAAGCAATGACAGGATCTGGACTAGAGAATTGATGGCAGAGCTGGGAATAGCAGTAGAGTAGTTCCCTCAGGGCAGATCATGAAAACGAGTTGTGCTCAGTGGGTACAAACTGCGCCAAAGCCTGAGTAGAGGAGGGGAGGTGGAAAAGGCTTACACCCTTACCTGCTTCATCGTGCTAGAACTGTAATGGCTGGTAATACCCAGAGCACGCGCTGATCGCTCTTACCAGTTTATTCAGTAAAAAGCTGCAGATGGCAATTAACGTTATTTATTTAGCCACAGTTGTCATTTCATCATTCCTGGAACAAGATATCACATGCCTTTTTGGGGAGCGAATCGAAAAGTCAGGTTTTGATCTAACTTCTGTAACTGCTGCAGAGACCTCTGTTAAAATGTGGGTTTGTAAGCTCTCGCAATAAGAAGCGTTGCTCAGTGAATCACAGCAGATCAGATCTTGTCTTTATGGCCTTCTGGGTAATAGTACACTTACAGGACTGTTTTACTCGGCTCACTGCTTTCCCAGGGCTGTATTAACATCGTGCCTGTCTGTGAAAACCTAGATCTTACTGCCAGCCCCAACATCTGCTGTTCTTACATTTGCAAACCAAAACTCCAGATGAGGCTAGTCTGTTCATGGAGAGGAGATGCAAGAGGGCTCTAAGCTCTCTCTCCCATGCTTTAAACCCTGGGGTTTCAGGGTTCCCTTCAATCTGCAACACTGGTATATTTTTTTTGGAGGCAAGGAAAAGCTGAGGAGTGGAGTTGGTGTCTGTACGACCACAGAAATCCACTGTTGATGGTGGAGAGATGCACTGTAGTTGCACAGATTTGCCATGCCGGAGGGAGCTGCCCTCCTTGAACTTCTTGCGATATTGGCAGTGTCCCCGAGCTTTGCTCCTGCACTTTGGGGATAAAAGCAGTAAACACAAAGACGGTTGTGGAGATTCAGGATTTTTCTTTCAGGGGCCAAGGGTAGCTAGTGGATCCATTTATGTGCTGAAGCAAAATGTTGTAAATTCGCTTCAGGGCCTAGATATTGAGGCCTTCAAAGTGCATCAGCAAGTGGTTGTTGTTAGGGGAGGCATGCTGAGCTTTTGTGGGTTTAGCTGAACCCATTACCTAGAAGAGAAAACATCCAGATGCTATATGGATTCTATCAGTTCTATTCTGTTTCTCCCCATCTTCTTCAAATTTAGAGTCATTACGTATAAGAGAGTTAAAATTCTCAGGTGAGAGCTGAGGAAATGAAGACATCAGATTGTGTTTTGCTTCAACTTGCAGGAGAGCACTTCCTTTCCCTTTCTTTTCTCCCTTTACTGAGCATAGTATTAGAGGAGGAGGTCAGCACTCACAGGGGTGCTCATTCCAGTCCTGCTTCAGACACATCCTCCCATCTGCAGTGGAGCTCTACCGTCTTCCCACTTAGGCACCATGGTTTAAAGTCTTGTGATGGTCCATTAAAAGCTGCTGAGTTGGTGACAAAAGACAGGAGAGAAATTTGCTTCATTTACTTCATACTCCGACTACCATGTGCTTTGGGCTGGAAGACTGTGAATTAATCTGAGAATTTTGTGGTGGAAGAAATGAAAAACAGAGATTAACAGAGCTCTCGGCTGAAACACAGGTGGAGTGCAATTCTTGGCCACGGACAGTGATAACGCATAAAATACCCCAACCCACATGTCAGTATTGGGTTTAGAATAGAAGTCTTTTCTCTTCCAAGTGTTTTTATTTCATGGTTTCTTCTGTAGTGCCTAAACTCTTGCTTGTCAGTGCAGTGCCCGTGGTATGTGATCCCGAGAGGATGGGTTTATCACACCTTGCTGTTTCCCAGTTCTCAAGGTACAATCCAGGATCAGTGGGGATAGAAGGGGGAGGACAGCATGTCCTTGAGAGGGCAAATCATCCTTTCGTACCAGAACTGGGCTGAATCATTTCAAAAGATGTCTGTATTTCTCCATTGACTATGTGAGGAACCTTGACAGCCAGTTTAGACTAGCTGCGTAATATTTAGATGGCGAAAGTTGTGTGAGATTAATCCAGTGCTGGTGTCAAAATGAGATGTGGAAAAATTGCAGTGATATTTCAAATGATCACTAATGGGAATTTTGACAGAAGTTTGAAACGATAACATTTTTGTGCTAAAATGGGAGCACAATGCTTTTCAGTGAAATTCTTGTCATTTTTGAAATCTGTTTTAAGACCAATTTTCAGTCAAAGTACTCTTCATATAAAATGTAAAGTTCTGCTAACTTGCATACAGACTGTAGTCAACAGGGAGAAATAAAACCATTTATACATTTGTTAAAGTATATTTCCATTTTTTGCAGTCCTGAATGTTGGACATGCATTTTTCTCTTCTTTCTCCCTCCATTTTTAAAGTTTCTTGTAATCCTTGTGTAACACGTGGTGATATGACGTCTGATAAATTTACAGAAGGGTTGAGTGACACTTTCATTTCAGTGTGCCAAATTTGTGGTCTCTTTTGCTAGTATAGTCCAGTGGGAAGGGTGCAGAATTGGAAACAAATTTTAACCATTGGGAGAAGATATAATGAAGACATTTGCTGTTCTTTGGAAAGCCCCTTAAAGTCTGTAGGCAAAAAAACCTTAAGTACAAGATTGTTACTGCTAAGAGCATAATGAGTTGCATTGGTTTTTTTGCCCCTCTCCATTAAATAAAAGCCAAATTCCAAAGCTTTTTGAGGAAAAAAGGGATTTACGAGATAAGTTATTTCATTAAGTTTTATCCAGACTGTGCTCCTAAACTTATGAACAAGATTAACGACATCATTAAGACGTCATTAATATTTTGTGTGCTTACTGTATACACAGATTCTTTTTCTGCTGCACTGTTCACACTTACAAGAGAAATAAATCTCCCACAGAAATTAATCTAATTTTTGCAAAATATGCAATGAAATATTTTTAATTCTGTCCTCCAGAAGCAAAGTTCAGCTAAAAATATTTTTTCTTGGGTCCCAAAATATAAACCTGAATGTCTCCTTTCTTTAAAATACCATTCATTTCCAATGATCATTTATTCATCCTTTACGGTTTTTCACAGCTAGAATAACCATATTTGGCTTAAGGGGAAAAAACCCAACAACCAACAACACTTTTTACAGCTACAGAGCGTCTTTTCTTTATCTGTAGTTCCCTTAAATACATAGAGCTCCTCTGCAGTCTGCTCCTCAGGTCTCTCACATCTAGCGCTCTCAGGAGGTATGCATCGTATCTGTTTTAAGTTTTTAACTGAAGTGACTCACAGACCTGAAACTTAATTTTGGGGTTTGGTTCTATTAAATGAAGAGAGGCAGGTTCTTCCTTGAGGGCCCTTCAGAGCACTTCAGCTACACACCGTGCATAGACAGTGTCTTTGTCCCACTTAAAAAATCAACCTGAGATTCTTTTCACCTGTCATCAGGGTCATTTTTGGTCTTATCGCTTTTTTAGTTCTATTGTTGCAGTAAGTTAAGACTTCCATAACGTTGTTATATCATGGCATCACAAGAGGAGTTAGTAAATGTTCCCTTCCCAACTGTTTGCTCTAGGGTTTGGGTTTATTTTCTTTGCTTTTGTTCTGTGTGATTCTTAACTAGCTTAGTTTGCTGCCTTGGATTGCAAGTGTGAAACTGTCTGCGGGAGATTTTGAGTATTTCATCTAGATGTCCGGTTTAAACAGCTTTTTGTCTATTGTTGTGAATTGCTCTCAGTATAAATTCTTTTGTTGGCTGACTAACCACGTGATTTACTGCAACTCCTAGTGCAGTCGCCTTGAGTGCAGGTGATTTTCTAGAGTTGGGAACAACAGCAGCACTCTGAGAGTGTACCCACCTCCACTGCATCTACAAAGGTTATATTTATTAATACAAATATAACAGAGCTTTTGATGGCTTCACCTGTGTAACCTTTTTTGAATACAAATATGGGGTTTGATAACTACAGCAATGCGGTTGTATTTTTTGGGTGTGAAAATCTCGCCCAAAAAATGAATGGCGTATGAGAATGATTGCTTTACGTAACCAAATGAATATTTAATGTGCATCCAAATCTTGGTTTTCAGAACTGTGTGCGTATCTGTTTTCACAGTTATTATCTGATTCTGCATTTAATTAAGTGATGACTAAACCCCTTTTTTGACCGGGTTACTGCAGAATCACACCTCATATTTACATGTTTCATTGCTATGATTCTTTTTAATTGAATGCAAATCACGCTGAGGCCTGTGTTCTGCAAAGTGCTTCTAAACATTAACGCGTTACTGACTGAGAGCTAGGGCCTACAGAGCTGGTAGAGAGGAAATAAGCTTAATGGACTTCATATTATACTGCTTTTAAAAAATCCTTGAAAATGAGCCCAGCATGCCCAGCAGTGACCTCCGTAACCCTGTAGCCTTTGCCGAGCAGCTGGCCCTTCGACAGCAGCTCTGCAATTAATTGCTCGGCAGTGCGGGGTTGCCAGCCCGGATCAGCTCAACGGCCCGGCTCGCGGAGCATCTCCTCTGACAGAGCCCAGCACCAGCTGCTCCAGAGAAAGATCAAAATACTCCCTTGGTGGAAAACCATGACATAATCTGCCCGCTGGGGTAGTTCCTTTCTGCGGCTGAGCTATAGAGCAGGCTGGGAGATGAAAAGATTGGTATCTCTTATTTTATTGCCTTATCTAAAGTAACTTTGATCGTCCTCAAAAACATGAACATTTCTAATTTATTTTTTTTTAACACTGCCTCGGTGCTGTTCTCTTGCCGTGACTTCTGTGGGTTGCGTAAAGGAACATTGCTCTGATTTTCTTTCGGTATGTCCTTTCAGGTTGCCCGAAACGGTTGCCCCGTTTCTTATTTGCAGGATTTCATTTGCCGCTTTACCCTCCTTAATCTTTTATACCTCGGTCGTGACCTATTTATTTTATCTTGACAGTTTTAGCTCTTGCCTTAGTTTCCATAGATCAGATGAAGCCAGGGAGGCTGTTACTTCCAGGCGTGAAGATGGCTTTTGTCATGGAGATACATCCTGCAAAGATCTGTTCTGAGACCCCCAAATCAAGCAACGTTTGTGGTCTGTGTAAAAGCTCTGTAAGGGTTATGGTGACAGCTGTGAATTTACTGAACACCGAGTACAAGTGAACGCTAACCTAAGGATCTAAATGTTGCATCTTAATCACAAAAGAAAGGGCTTGTAGGAACAGGAATATCTCTGATGTCCTTCCATTTTTTTATTATTGTAAGTATTCAATTACCAATTTGCAGGAATCGGCAGATAAAATGAAGCACTTACAAAGTCCTCTTTATCGTTACTGTCACTTTTTTCTCTTTCCTTCTTTCAGATGATCATTCAAGAGTGAGATTGCAACTGCTGGATGGGGACCCTCACTCTGACTACATAAACGCCAATTACATCGACGTAAGGCTCCTGGACATTCCCACTATGACAAACGCTCCTGCTGACAAGTCCGCTTATGAATTCAGTGCATCCTATGTAGGGACAGACTGTTGATCTGATATGAATGACAGCTGAACATTACACAAACATCGTATTGTGACAGGGAGAAGGTTCTCGGTCTCCAGTTTATTCTGTCTGACCGATCTGGACAGATGGAGATTTCCTATGTTTGACAGATCCACCAACATAAGTGGAATGTGGGCTCAATGACGCATGCAGAAATCACTATCAGCCCCTCGCAGCAGCATTAGGAGATATCTGAGACTTACCAACTTCTTACAAAGTTACAGTGCAGGAGCCATGTAAATAGATTGGCATATTATTTTTTTAAGTGTTGTACCATTCAAAAAGCAGAGGCAAAATGATCAAATGAACATGCGTTTCTTGTATGCAGCTCCTAATTCTTAGGAACGTGACAATGTTCAGAAGAGTTTCTTTAAGGGATGAAAAATACACCTAATAAGGTTCCGTAAGACTGATAGGCGTCATTTTCATACAGAGGCAAATGCACACTTTTCTTTTTCAAATAAGAAGGTGCAACTTTTTTGCCCATTAGTTTTCAGAGTTGCCACAGGGTCGGCACAGGACTTCCGTTTCTTTGAGGATACAGTGAAAACTACCCCATTCCTGTTTTCGCTTTGGCATAATGAGATGTTATTATTCAGCCTGAGCGAGATACCATCACTTATGATATTCATAGGGCAACCTCGTTGCCTATCTTCGCTCATTCAATAACCAGGGTTAGTACACTGTGAAGTGCGCGACAGTTGTTGGTACCTGGGAGTGTAAAATACATGCTGTTGGGCTTTGTCTGAACTGCGATCTCACAGCCTGTCACATATTTTCTTTTTTTTTTTTTTTTTCCAGGGATATCACCGGCCTCGCCATTGCATTGCAACTCAAGGCAAGTTCATTCTTGTATGTCTGAATATTTGTAAAACCACTACTGTTTTAAACTGTTGCAAGAGCTATTTATAGGGTGACTTCTTCTGTTTTGGGGAACGTCTGAAAACTTGCTATAGGGGCACAAAAGGGGAAGGATATAGGGTGTTCCAAGATCTTTAAGGCACTCAAATGCAAAACCTCAGCTACAGGAATAAAAAATGCTACAGACTTAGAGGTGGCAGTGCAATCTATAATGTGTCTGTTGTGCATGAAGTATGAGATTAGAACTAAAAGGAACTTCACGGAGCTTGGGTTTAACTTCTGGGGTGAAATTGCTTGGGGAGGGCAGTATGAATAAGCCCGTGACTGATGAACTTTTGGTTAGTGGGAACTAGTAGGAAATGCATTTGATCACCACCTTCTGTAAGTTAGTTAATGAGTTTCCTGTGTCTTTAGGGGGGGATGGGGAAGAGGAAAAACCCAACACAATTCAATGCTGAGGGCTGTCCATGTTCAATGACGAACCTCCCTACTCCTGTTCCTTACTCTGTTTTCCTGCATCGCTGGGCAAATTTCTATGCCATGACCACTGCCTCTACCACTATTTGTCCTCATTTTTGTGCATTCCTTACCTGCAAAAGTGATGTTCACAGAAATGACTCTATTCTTAAATCCTGCTTTATGACTTTGTTGCTGGCTTGTCCCTATTCAAAGAGCAAAGAAACGTATTTAGAATAAAACTGGGTTTTGAGGATGCACGGCTATAGGGAATGTAGTGAGGCAGAGAACATGGAGGATGGTCAGAGTGGGTGAAAGGAGTCCATGGGAGGATTTCCTCTATAAGAGAGGAAGGAAACCAGGTCGAAGAGAAGTTCTCCTCTAATAAACCTCTTGTGAGGACTGGCTGTTTGGCTGTTGGAACCTGAAATTTTTCTCTCGGGGGGAGCTTCAGAAAAGGGCTAATTTCTGTATGTTTCCTTCCTCCTTCATAATTAATAAACAATAAAGCGTGAAATGGAGGAATTTTAGTGCTGCATCAAGTACAAATTTCAATACAGCTTTAATTACAGACTCTCTATAGGGTGCCTCCATGTCCCATCACTTATACATGATTACCTACTGGAGCCATCTCCACTATTTACAATACAGCCATCGCCTCTGTTTCCAGCATGCTAGAACCTTAAATAACCCCTGCGAGGAAGTGTCTGGTCTCTTAAAGAGCTCCAGGCTTTTCTGTGTCTGTAACCGTAAATCGCAGAGGGATGCTCTGAAGGGGAGAGAA